GCCTCATGGAACTCTTGAAGTTGTTCTTGTCAGTGCCAAAGGTCTCGAGGACACAGATTTTATGAGTAAGTTTTCGTAAATTCTGATTCTGTTTCTCAAATCCTTAGAACCCATTTTAGTTTCGTTGATGGGTTTTGTCTAAAATATGTTAAATCTGCGAATGTATATATGCACGTGTTTAAATTTTTCGACTTTTTTTATCAAAGAAAGATTCAATATTGTAAAAATGGTTAGTGCTAATCTGATGTTCTTAATGGAGATTTTACCATATATTGTGTATGTTGACTAGAAAAATGTGAATCCATTTTGTGAATCGGATTTTGATTCAATCCTGATACTAATGGAGATCTACAAATTTTTATGAAAGTATTATCACAGATTCACATTCTTGTTTGTCCTTGTGTAAATCTTGATCTTAATAATTCTATTCTGATGATCTAGTTTAATTGATGGTTACGGACATGTAACTTCTGGATTTGTTTCAAGATTAAGATCAAACATAGATGCTTGTTATATTATAACATAGCCTTGTGCATATGTAAAATCGATTGCATATTCGTTGACTGATTGCGCGCGGCTTCTTATGAACAGATAGCATGGATCCTTATGTGCTTTTCACTTGTCGGACTCAAGAACAGAAGAGCAGTGTCTCATCAGGTAAATTTTCAATCAAGATCAAGGGATAATCGCAGAAAGAATAAATCAAATATGTTCATTTGTTCTTTTTTGCGCAAGAAAATATCGATTTTTGTTGTGATTCAATAGTTAACGAAGAAAAATCATGAGTTCTTGCAGGACAAGGCACAACTCCGGAATGGAACGAGACATTTATCTTCACTGTCTCTGAAGGAACTACAGAGTTAACAGTGAAAATCTTTGACAAAGATGTCGGTACAGAGGATGATGCGGTTGGTGAAGCAACGTAAGATCCTCAAATAACATCATCTTCTTTAGCTTTCTTGTTTTGGTTAATAGAATTGGTGTTTCTTAATTAGTAGGTTTAATTTGAACCTAATTAAGAAGATTTTTTTTTTTAAACAATCTTGCAGTATTCCATTGGAGCCGGTTTTCCTGGAAGGGGATATCCCACCAACTGCATACAATGTGGTGAAAAATGAGGAGTTCAAAGGCGAGATCTGGATCGCGCTCTCCTTCAAACCCTCGGTATAAACAATAGAAAATGACATCTTGTATTGTTCTTGATTCCGGTTTAAATATGTTAAGCAGAATCTGAAGAAGAATGTGTGTTCTTTTGGGTGATATTTGTTAGGAAAACCGAAGCAGGGGTGTTGAAGAGGAGACTTATGGAGGCTGGAAAAACTCTGATGCATCATACTAAGAGAATGAAACCATTGTGTTTTAATGTTTGATTTGATTCTTGGAATAAAATTGTTGAGTTTCCATTTGAAAGTATATTTTCTTTAGAGTTTCTTCTTCTTATTATTACTCTTGTTGTTGAAATTGGGTTTTATGATTCAAAACTTGTTTCCATTTTGTTTTGATATGGAGATTTTCCTTTTCTTGAGTCTACAAAATTTGTTGTGGTATGTGTTGTTGGGTTTGAATGAGTCTTATTGGACTTTTCATCTTAAGTGGTTATGCCTCTGCTCTTATTCAAAGACAGTTTTACCCTTTCTTCTTCCACACGTATATATACACTAACATCCTTCGAAATCGAACTAGATTTTTCTTCTCCAACAAGCTATGGAGACAAAAAGTGCTCGCAAGGAAAACAACAGGCTCCCACCGGAGGTGAACCGAGTGCTCTTTGCTAGGAACCTTCCCTTTAGCATAACGAGCGAGGAGATGTACGATATATTCGGCAAGTATGGTGGGATCCGACAGATTGGGATCGGTTGCAACAAGGTCACAAAAGGTACTGCCTTTGTCGTGTACGAGGATATCCGCGATGCGAAGCAAGCAGTGGATCATCTATCTGGCTTCAACTTCGCTAATCGGTACCTCATCGTGACGTACTACCATCACGG